AAAAAGTAAGTCTTCAATTCGGGCATATGAAGGAAGACCAGTTATCATTATTATATACATATATAACGTGTTTACCTCTTCCAAATATTTTGTTAAGGATAAGTAGTTAAATGAATTAACAAATTTAAAAAAATAAATTTCAAAGAACAAGAGAAAGTTGCGTCGCATGTTTTTACATGACTAAAACTGACCGTTTGTTTTTGACAAATACGGCCCCTTCTAGCCGCTGGTCAACCAAAACAATGCCGGTTTGTCACACTCTCTTACTTGACTGCCACTTGGTTGGTCAACATGTGACGTCATCGAACAAGTGTTAGTCGCTAAAACAGCGTATCAGTTGTATAATTTTTAATTCCATACTGGAAGGTAGAATTGACGATATGAAACTATGAATGGTTTACCGATGAATTATCTGATATTGTCATGATGGTGAACGTAGTCTGTGATCCGTGTAATATTGATACGAAATACCTAGCTATTCTTCTTAGCAGCTAACATGTTTTGACTAATAGTGTTTGAGGAACAAACTGGGTTTTGTTTTACATCCGATATCAGGGTTACTTAGGTAGACAATCTCCAGGATAGCAATATGGAACACGAGCGTGAAACTGAGGAGCAGGAGGAATATACCGCTATTTATACTGTATCCAGGAGAACTCGCACGAGGAGTAAATGTAGACGAACAAAAAGTGGAAGAAATGAGAAAACACAGTCGGAGAAAAATCGTAATGCTTGTCCAGACGAACGTTTACCACCAGTTATGTTTTCACCGCGTAATCAAAAATTATCTTCGAAAATGAAGTCGAAATTTGACATAACAAAAGAAAAACTGCAAAATCTAGATACGGTTTTTTTCCCGATTCCGCGGAATAGAGTTTTTCTAGGGAAATGTTCAGATGATGACGACTCAAGTGGCTATCGAGTGTCCGAAAGTGTCCTATCCGTCCTCAAAACCGTCCGAATATGGAAGTTAAGGAAGACTGGCAGACAGGTATGTTTTCCCTTTCCGTATTCTACATTTCTTTCCTTCTTTCTCTCACTATTCTCAATACTATTTGGTACTCATACCCTTAAATTTGTCAAACTAGAAAAAATGATGAACCATCGAAAAACGAACCATGTCGACGAATATAGTCCCTGCTGATGAAGCTGTCAAGTGCAAGTACCTTTGTGACTAGCTGTTTTATCCATGTATAGAAAGTGTGTAGATATGCTCCAGTATAGAAGAAAACATTAATTTAAGTGCACACCAAACTCGGTGCGCAGATTTTTTAAAGAGACGTCCTGACTGTGTCTGTCCGATCAAAATAATTGTTAAATGAGACAGTCAGTTATTTCGGACTACCCAGACATTTCATTGAACTTAGAAACCGAAGTGCCCGGTCACACGAGGTCCCATATGTACTCTGATTGTGACTTAACCTGTTGTTGTATTTTAGGGATACGACAAATTCCGACGAACGGCGGAGTTCGTCAGGTTCGCACGGAAGATGTGTGCACGGTAACACTTTTAAGATTTATCAACAGTATGATATTAGTTTACATGTACATCAACGATAATTGCGTAAACATTTTGTATATGATAAGTTGTAACAAGCCCTGACATATCTGAATGTATATCAACTATTGCCGAGAAACTATTGCTAAAATGTATCGAGGAGGGATGATCCTATGGATCAACGATTATTGTGTTTGTCAACGCTGGATATTAAATTTATTCGTACATTTATCGGGAATAATTGTGTTTTTTTTCACTTAAGCATTGTGAATACTGAAAACAAAACTTTTTATGATATCGTAGTTTGTGTTACATTTCAGTTATGACTGCACGTGTAACTTCTTTTAATTGTAATCGATAAATCGTACATAGCCTGGACTATTATGCGACAAAGTTAATTATCTATCATTTCAGCCAGCCAGATAAAACATTGAGTCCGGAGGAAAGCATTCTGTTTTTCCTCAACACGAGTTCCCGCCGTCGACCAGACACACCGAACTCGCCCGACCCCCGGACCCTATTTGATGTCACTCCATTCAAGGCTTTGGGACAAGTAAGAACGGATATAACTACAGTTGTATAGCTATTGTGATTATAAGAATACAGGGATTATCTATAGTCCAGGTAGTGTTAAAGGAGACGTAGACAACATAGGGTTTGTTTACATGATTTTTTTAGGATATTAGGGGTATATGATAAACATCATACTGATAATCTTCTTTTTTTTTCTTTTTTTTTCAGAAAACTTTTGTAAACACTTTACGAAACTGTCTCGGAATCCCCCCGGAATTGCGGACAAGTGATGACATCACAGCGGTCAGTCATCAATAGACCTGTACCTCGCTAGTCTTGACTCTTCTTTTGTCCACGAAATGTTATTACAATACGGAATAATGATAGTATACTTTTTAAATGGCCTATGGTTTGAAGGTTCAAACAATGTTGATTCACAAATATGTATCATTTAGGTATCAATCTTCATCAACAGGTGTAGATGAATTAGGGTCAGATAAACGCTGACACTGGTAAAAGAATCCCTGATACTGATAAGAGAATTAAGGAATTTTAATATTCATTTTTGAGCATCTCCGGATCTGAATACCAACAGGGTATAGCCAAAAGTAAACTTCGTTGTATCCGATAGCCTCAATAATATCAAACGAATATGATCCCTATTCGGCGTTTTTTCTTTGTAGATGACTCGCATGCTAGG